TTTAAATATTACTATAGTAATTATGAAGTAACTATATAATTACACAGAAAAATTGAAAATACCGTAATATTTATAAATAATTATACGAATATATCGGTAAATTAACGTCATTAAAGTAAAAGAACTATATTATTTTTATTACAGTACACATATAATAATATAATGAAATTCTTAAAGCACTCCGTAAATAATAATATATTTGTAACCTTATGATAACTATACTGTATTATAATTTACATAATATTATAACTATGATATTACATAATTATTTTTCTAAAATTTCTATCATAATATTCAGGCACGTAGCCAGAAAATGTTTATAGGAGGGGCCAACAATTTTGGGCCCTTGTATCATTTTCCATAATTTGTTTACCATGAAAAGCTTGTAGGGGGTTCCCTCAACTCCTCCTTAGACAGTATCCCATTCTATGAATCTTACAAGTTCAAAATTTGTGTTTATTTTTAAAAAATTGGTGGATTATTCCAAAAGTTACATGATCTGCTATTTCCTTATTAATATCCTGATTAAGATAAAGTATGTCGAATGAAAAAGAGATTATTAAAAAATATTATTTTTCATAAAAAAATTGTGCTGATCCATACATTTTTCAAAAAGTTATAGCATTATAAAGTTAAAAATGTAAAATACAAAATCGAGAATTTTTACACAAAAATAGCATTCGGTAGCCATTTTCACCGTGAAGACAAAATTAACTCCGAAATTTTTTTAAATAAAATAGTACATTACGTTAGCTTTAATTTAAGATATAGATAAAAGTGTCAGACTTTCCGGAACATTTTAAAAATTTAAGTGAAAAAAGTTAATTTTTTGTGAAAAAGTTGTCATTTTAAATCCCCCCCGTGGGCAGGTAAAGGGTCAGATTTATAAAAAAAATATATCAAATGAAAAGTAACGATATCATACATCTTTATAAAAAAGTTATGGCAATTTTTGAGGGTAATGTCTTTGACTAGATACGATTTGTGATCTTTTGACGTATTACTGAAAGAAATGGGTTCAGTGAGAGCTGAGAAAAAGTGGTAACAGACACAAAAAAAAAACACATCATAGTAAAAATAATACCTTCTCAGCTTTGCATCGAAGCTAATAAAATAATGATGTGAACATATGCTGATTTAATTTTTCAACTTTTATTTTGAACTTTTAAGCTATAAAGAAAAAATAATTTATTCCTGAATACTAATAACAAAGAAATTATAAAAAATTTTAAAATAAATATAAATTATAAACAATGTAAAATTTATTTTATTTAAAATTAAAAACAATTCCTGCCTTTTTTTAGTCATATTTTAATTACTATTATTTAGAGCACGAAAATAACAAATTAACAAAAACAAATAAATTACCTATTGTAACTACTAAATTATAAAAATAGAAAAAAATTAAAGATAAGATTTATCAAAAAATTTTTCATAGAGTATATTCTATCGAATTTTTTAATTAACTAGAATCTAATCAATGCAGATACTTGGTAGTTTCTTATCATTTGTTAGACCAGAGTTAAAAAAAATTTACCTACAACCACGTTTGGAGTAATTGCTATTCCATTTATTATTACGTCTAGAACGTTATCTTTTTCAAATAACGTTTTCTAGGGGTGACGGTATTTTTTTTTAATTTCGATATTTCGGTATGATATTTTTTACCGGTATGAATCGGTATACCGAAAATATCGTTAAACCGGTATTTGGTTACGGTAATTTCGATATACTCGATATTTCGGTATCTCGGTATTTCCGATATTACATAATAATATAATGTTACATAATAACATTAATACGAATTAATTTATTTATAATTAAATTTATAAAAAAAAAACAAGATCACAAATTATTATTTTATTTAATTATTTTGATACAAATTTAGAGTTCATAGATAAAAATATGAGTTCTTCGGAATGCTCTGTTGATAGAATGATCTATGATCAGTAATTATATTGCCCGCACAACTGAATACACGTTCGCTTGGAACACTAGTACCCTGCACGCATAAATATTTTTTACCAAGTACGGCCAAAGTTAGAAATTCATTTTAATAGACTTTCCACCACTTTAAAGGTTCTGACTCTAAATTTATAGGTTCCAAATTTTATGTTCAATTCGATATAAACGATAAGATGCAATTATTGTGATAAACAACATGCAACGATAAAAACAAAATAATACGAACCCATATCGGTATTTAAGATATATATATTTAGTATTGTAAATTTGTCATATATTTCTCACTGGAAATTTTGAACAATCTAAAAATAGATTAAAATATTCAATAACTAATTTCGGTTATCGATATACTCGATATTTCGATATTTTTGGGATTATCAGTATATTCGATATTTTCGGTATATCGTATAAATAAAAAAGACGGTATACCGGTATATCGACCTCAAATCAGTATACCGGTAACACCGTCACCCCTAACGTTTTCTATGAATATAAAAATGAAAATGCAGCCATAATAATAATAACTGTATTACTCAATAGTAATCACAAATTAATAACAATTTCAATGTATATAAGGCCTAGCACGTTTTTGATAATTCGTAAAAATAATTGAATTTTAAATTTGGGGGGGCCGGCTCTGGGCCACATTAAATTTAAGGGTGGCCAGGCCCACCCAGGCCCACCCTTGTCTACGTGCCTGATAATATTATACTTGTACTGAAATAAATATTAATATTATAATAAATATTTTTTTCACACTTGAAATAATTTTATCTACGGCATGAAATTGACTTCTTACTTCTTCTTCGACTCTATGAAGCCCGTGTATAACACATGTTACGTGAATCATTTTCGAGTACAGACTTTTTAGCACTTCTCCTGATTTAACCATGTAAGGTGCAGCATCAGATAAAAATAAAAGTACATTATCATGTTTGATACCAGCTGGCCATAATAAATTCATGAATCTGTCAAAAAGTTTGCTAATTGTTGAGTGGTTAGCTTTTTCTAGTTCATCCGAATTTAGTAAAAAAATTTTGCCTGCGCAACTTTAATCAAGAATACCAACTATTACATCCGCAATGTAACGGCCCTCTACATCAATCGTCTCATCAATACTGACCCAAATTTTATTGTTTGAAATAATTTTCCTTATATTGTTAATAGTTTCATTATAAATTTCATCTACAAATCGCAACGTAGATTAGCTCAGAATTTCAATTTTTTGTATACATTTCCAAAAATGCTTTTAATTTTCGATTTTCTATTTTATTTAAAGGAATGTTAGCGGAAATAAAAGCCTCACAAAACTCTTTGTTGAAAGATGATTTTCTATTACTTATTTTTATCAATAACTGTAGCTGTATTCGATTAATATGATTTTCATATCGGACAATGCCTTTTTTAAGTTTGTCACTTTTTATATGTTGTGATACATTGAAATTTTTGTCGGAATTAACTTTAATTTTACAAATTTTACAAAACAATGCACTTGCATCGATTTAAAATATATTAGAACCAAATTCATTAATATAAGATTGTAGCCGAATCGATAAACTTTGTTTTACTTTTGGAATTTTTAAAACAATTAACACACCACTTTTCAAATAACGCAGATACAACACATAGAAATGATGATTATGGTACACTAAAAATTGTAGTCTAAATTAAAAACATTGTATGTGTAGGTAATATGAAGATACAATCTTGGTTATTTTGGATATATATATTAGGGTGGTCCTTATTTTTCGAATTTCGAAATTTCTTTCGGGACTCCCTTCCATTTTTTTATTTAGTATAAAAAAATAATATTCTGAAAATTTAAAATCATTTGGAAAAATTGAAATCGAGGCGCACAGCATTTTAAGGTTTTGACCTCGAATTTTCGAAGAATATTCTATAAAACGATAAAAAGAACTTATATTAGTGGTTTTTAAGTAATTTTTTCAATAAAAGTCAAGATACAAAAAAAAAAACCTTATTTAAAGACAAATATTTTAATAAGTTTAAAATATTTTAATAAGTTAAAAATATTATTTAATAAGTTAATGTTTTTTAACCTTGAAGAGATGAAAAATATCATATTTTTACTACATATTATTGTAGTGTTTTTTTAATCAAACAATATTTCCCTTACCAAAAATTTTAAATTTTCAATAGTTACTGAGTAAACGAGTGTCTTATCTTTAATGGATCACCCTGTATATGGTGACTATTTTTTGTATCTAATGTACTGACATATTGGGTGTATCAATAGAACTGGTTTCTGTTCAGCGATTTGGCAAATCAAATATTAAAGTTCGTCCATTGAAAGTAATGTTCAATATAGCTTCAGATGCTTTTAAAATTCTTGGTTCAACTATATTATTTAGATCTAATTAAAAATATGAAAATTACAGGCGAAAAGTGACTTAAACATCGAGAGAAATTAAAAAAACACTTCCATGAACTTTTAAATTAAATGAACAAAATTCAAAATCATTAAATACGACCTAATGAGAACTCAGAATTTTCATAGACGACATAAAAAAAACACACACTATCACTAAACAAAACCTTCTCAGTTTTACTTCAAAGTTAAAAATATAACTTAAGAGCATTTTATCTCAAAAAATGATCCAAAGTAAGCTGAAAAAATTATTTCGAAAATGCAATGAGACAATGTTTCAAACATTCAATCAATTATTAGTTGAGTATTAAAGAGCCTAAAAATTACAATATATAATAATAATTAATTTTATACTGTTTAAATGCAAAATAGATTTATCATTTTATCAAAATACATCAAAGTAAAATATTAAATAAAATAAATATATTAAATTTAATTAACATTACATAATTATAAAGCATAATTTTTATTAACATTTGCCTGTAGAATAACTTTAAATATAAAATATAATGACGTTCAACAAAAACTGTGAAAACAAGTAAGAGATTTTCAAAAGTCAATACTGAGTAAACTGTAATATAAATAGATAAATATTATAACTAAAATATTAAGTGCAGTCAGTATTTGAAACGTTAAAATAGTCAATTATCAAAAACACAATGTATCCTAATAATTTAATGGTAATTATTTTATATTTATTATTATTAATTTTTTCATCAACATTATTGCATCAAAACGATTGGAAACCGATTTAAATAATACTAATTCAATTGACATAACGAGAGCAAAATATATAAAATGTACTTATTTATCTAGTGCATTAACTCATATGAATATTTCGCAAATACTTTTAGATAAACCACATTATACATTATCTACTGCAATCACAAGCATTTCTAAGTATAACGATGTTGTTAGAAGACAAATTAGTACATTGTACGGAAAAGATACTATTGAAATTGGAGCATTATGGTTAGTAAATATTTATACTAGTATTATAAGTTTCTTAACTGGTGATTCTGATAAATTTAAAGAAATTTCGAAAAATAATCTTATCTTATTCAATAGTATTAAAGATACCCATGCCTATATAATACTAAAATTGATTCAAGAGCAAGATATTGAAAATTGTTATGTTTATAACGCATATTGTACGACAGATAAAAATCTCGACGAATGCAATGATATAGACACTGTAGAGCCATATATTTTAATTCAAAACAATAATAAAAAAATTGATCAAATAATTGAAAGATATTTTGGTCATACACCGTTTAATATTAATGAAACAGTAAAGTTCACAAAAAACAGCATATATTTGAGAAATATTATCAGATGGAACTGTATAAAAAGAGTTACATATTTTTATCTTGAACAAGTCGAATGGCCAAATATGGTAGCAAAATTTAATGAACTTTATAACTCTGCTCATACTCTTAATTGGTCAGCAGATAACTTACAATTCATTAAGTTCTATCTTGAATCAGTTTTTGAATTTCTTAAAATTATTATGTTACGACTAACTTGGAAACATTTTTTGTACGTCCAATTTCAAAAAAGTTGTTTTGTTGAAATTTTTATAAAACAATGGATTTTAATAATAAATGAGTTTTCGACTACACTCTGCCTTAAAGATGATGTTGTTATATTAGAGTTGTATGACCTAATGAATAATTATGCGAACAATATTCCAAAGCACAATGATGGTTCTATAGACGAAGAAAAACTTCCTAGCTACAAAGAATATCATACGAATAAACTGATATTATTCTTAACAGCAAAATTAAATAAAGCATGTAGATATTTTGGCTGTGTTTCATCTAAGCCAATGATTTTTTTGGGAAAAGAGCTTCCTCACATTATGCTGTACAGACCATTTCATAAACCAACGGAAATATCAACTATTGAATTTTATAGTTTGAGTAATTCCAGAAATTTTCTATTTAATGTCAATAAGTTAATTAAACCTGCTGATTTTAATGTAATTAGATCATTTATACGATATATAGAAAAAATTAATTAATGTAATTTTTAAATAAACTTAATTTTGGAAGTTGGCGAAAATCGCTACCGAATGCTATTTTCGTGGGAAAATTCTCGATTTTATTTTTTACATTTTTAACTTTATATATTNTATAATGCTATGACATATTGAAAAGTGTATGGATCAACATTATTTTTTTATGTGAAATAATATTTTTTAATAATCCCTTTTTCATTCTACATACTTTATCTTAATTAGGATATTAATAATGAACGAGGATATTAATAAAAAAAAACAATTTTTTAAAATTAAACACTATCTAAAGATTTGCATCGAAGCGTTTTTTTTTTTTATAGTGATTTTAATCACTGTCAGATATCATTATACTTGTTTTGAATTAAAATAAATGGCTCTACAGTTTTCATATCATTGAATTCTTCAAATTTTTTATCAGTCGTACAAAATGCGTTATAAACATCACAATTTTCTATTTCTTGCTCTTGAATCAATTTTAATATTACATAGGCATGGGTATCTTTAATACTATTGAATAAGATAAGATTATTTTTTGAAATTTCTTTAAATTTCTTAGGATTACCAGTAGAGAAACTTATAATACTAGTATAAATATTTACTAACCAAAATGCTCCAATTTCAATAGTATCTATTCCGTACAATGTACTAATTTGTCCTCTAACAACTTTGTTATACTTAGAGATGCCTGTGACTGCAGTAGATATTATAGACTGGTAGTAATACACACAACCAGAGTTAATTAATCTATTTTTCAAAAAGTTATTTCTTTAAAGCATTTTTACAATATAAAAATAAAATATTATATACATATAAATAATTATATTTATTATCATTAATTTATTCGTCAACATTATATGCATCAAATAAGAAATTTTCAGAAGTAATTTCTGAATAAGCTGAAATTTATAAATATTAAAACTAAAGTATAAAGTAAGGTAAATATTTAAAACGTTAAAATAGTCAATTATCAATAACACAATGATTAGAGGGGTATTATATGAGCTGGGACCCACCCAAAACGGCCCCGGCCGTTTCCTCTCCTTAGGTTGACGGCCTGTGTAAACGGCTGTTGGGATATGGTGAAAGGCATAGTCCCCCCACCCACATGATGTGGGTTTACCCTGTCATAGGTGAACGGGCGGTGTAAACAACCGGGAGGGGAATATGGTGAAAGGTAAAAATTATAAACAGATTACAAAAATTTATTAGTAAATAATATTATTATTATTATGTACAAAAATTTATTGTTGAAATTATATTAAATAAAAAAAAAATTAACCTTGGTTAAAATATAAATAATTGATTAATCGACTCATATAGTAATAAAAAACTATGCTTATTGAACTATGCCTGTTCATAGCTAATACATCGGCCCCATTTCTTTAAGACAGTCGCATAATTTTTCAACTAAATCGCCTCTTGTTGCCGACGGCCTGTGTAAACGGCTGTTGGGATATGGTGAAAGGCATAGTCCCCCCACCCACATGATGTGGGTTTACCCTGTCATAGGTGAACGGGCGGTGTAAACAACCGGGAGGGGAATATGGTGAAAGGTAAAAATTATAAACAGATTACAAAAATTTATTAGTAAATAATATTATTATTATTATGTACAAAAATTTATTGTTGAAATTATATTAAATAAAAAAAAAATTAACCTTGGTTAAAATATAAATAATTGATTAATCGACTCATATAGTAATAAAAAACTATGCTTATTGAACTATGCCTGTTCATAGCTAATACATCGGCCCCATTTCTTTAAGACAGTCGCATAATTTTTCAACTAAATCGCCTCTTGTTGCCGACGGCCTGTGTAAACGGCTGTTGGAATATGGTGAAAGGCATAGTCCCCCCACCCACATGATGTGGGTTTACCCTGTCATAGGTGGACGGGCGGTGTAAACAACCGGGAGGGGAATATGGTGAAAGGCATAGTCCCCTCACCCACCCACATTGCGTAGGTTTACCCTGCCATAGATGGACGGGTGGTGTAAACGGCTGGGGGGGATATGGTGAAAGGTCGATGTTGCTCGTTCCTAGATAGCATTTCGTTATACCATGGTACATGTTACCTTGGTATATGCATAGTATACCTAGGTAGATGGAACATCATATAGTATATCTTGATATATTACCGAAAATTGGAGGTATTTGAAAATTACATAATTTTAGAATTATATGAAAATATTTGAATGCAGAAAAGTTAAAGGTATAATCAAGCGGCAACGGCGACTATTAATCCAACGAAACCCAACTTAAGCTATATGACGTATATGCCTTTGACCATAGAGAGTTCCCTTCCTTGACTAACGTATGTATTAAAACAGTAAATCAGCGGTTTACCCCTACATAGAAGGGGAGGTGATGATGAAACTCATCATAAGGTGATCATTATTATGATATTAAAGTAAATAAATAAATATGTACAATATTTCATAAGAATTCAGTTATTTTTTAATTATGAGAAAATATTTATACGTTTGAAATAATATTTTATCAAATTCTTTTTTGATTATTCAGTCACACTACCGCGTTTGTTAATAGACATTTTTTGTTAATGTGTAATCGTTATTGTATAAAACATGTATACACATAATCTATTACATATATTTGTATACAAATATTTAGAAATCGAGAGTTTAAAATTAATTATTATGATATTAAAGTGAAATTACTTAATATTTTTAGTATTTTTGTGATAAAAGCGTGGGTGCTTTGTGCCATATTTTTCGTATATTGAGCGCCCGACGCTTTTATCATAATAATGCTAGTATTTTTTGTTCATAATTATTTTAAAAATTATTTTTAACTTTTTAGTTCAATGTGCTTAAAAAGCATGTTTTTTTATTTTTTTTAAACTATATTTATTCCTTAATAAACTCTAAACTTTAGAAAACCGAGGAGCACTTATTATTAAATAAAATAAAACATTTTTTTTTATTTAACTAAATATAATGGTGTAAAAAAAATAATTTTTCAATTTGAAAATCTTAAGTTGATACAAGTTTTAAGCATAAATAATAAAAGTAGAAATTTAATTTTTCTTGTAAGCAGCTCATCAATCGTATTTTTTAAGACATTACGTGAGACGTAGTAGGCGTATCACTCTGTATATATTGATATTTATTGACATCTTTGTTTTTTATATAAATCGTCATTTCCAAAAATAAATCAACAGATTTTTAATACGCACAAGAACGATTGCTTAGTAAATACAAATGGTGAAACAATATTAGTATCTAATATATTGAACATTTTATAAATATTGAACCGGTTTCTGATCAGCGATATGGCAAATCAAATATTAAAGTTCGTCCATTGGAAGTTATGTTCAATACGGCATTAGATGCTTTTAAAATTCTCGTAGAAATTCACCTATACAGAGAGAAATATTTAAAAAAAACACTTCCATGAACTTATAAATAAAATGATGATTTTAACCAATTCAAGATCTTTAAAATCATTCTACTGAGAACTCAGAATTTTCATGGACGAACATAAAAAAAACACACCATCAAAAAACCAAAATCTTTTCAGTTTTACATTGAAATTAAAAATCAGAACTTTTGAGTATTTTACCTTCAAACTATTAACAAAAGTAACCTGAAAAAATTATTTCGAAAATGCAATGAGACATTCAATCAATTATTAGTTGAGTTATAAAGAATGTAAAAATAACAATGTATAATAATAATAAATTTTAAACTGTATAATTAAAAAAATAGAATGAATACTTTAAATTTAATTAACGTCACATAATTATAAAATGAAAATTATAATATTATTTGCAAGTAGAAAAATTTTAAATATAAAATATAATGACGTTCAATAAAGACTGTGAAAACAAATAAGAGAATTACAAAAGTTAAAACTGAATAAACTGTAATATAAATAGATAAATACTAAAACTAAAATATAATATACAGTGAATATTTGAAACGTTAAAATAGTCAATTATCAATAACACAATGTATCCTAATAATTTAATGATAATTATTTTATATTTATTATTATTAATTTTTTCGTCAACATTATTTGCATCAAAACGATTGGAAACTGATTTAAATAATACTAATTCAATTGACATAACGAGAGCAAAATATATAAAATGTACTTATTTATCTAGTGCAGTAACTCATATGAATATTTCGCAAATACTTTTAGATAAACCTCATTATACTTTATCTACTGCAGTCACAAGCATTTCTAAGTATAACGATGTTGTTAAAAGACAAATTAGTACATTGTACGGAATAGAAACGATTGAAATTGGAGCATTATGGTTAGTAAATATTTATACTAGTATTATAAGTTTCTTTACTGGTAATTCTAAGAAATTTAAAGAAATTTCGAAAAATAATCTTATCTTATTCAATAGTATTAAAGATACCCATGCCTATGTAATATTAAAATTGATTCAAGAGCGAGAAATAGAAAATTATGATGTTTATAACGCATTTTGTACGACTAATAAAAAATTTGAGAATGATATGAAAACTGTAGAGCCATTTATTTTAATTCAAAATAATAATAAAAAAATTAATCAAATAATTGAAAGATATTTTGGTCGTACACCATNAATAAAAAAATTGATCAAATAATTGAAAGATATTTTGGTCATACACCGTTTAATACTAATGAAATAGAAAAATTCACAAAAAACAGTATATATTTAAGAAATATTATCAAATGGAACTGTATAAAACAACTTGCTTATTTTTATCTTGAACAAGTCGAATGGCCAAATATGGAAGAAAAATTGCATGAACTTTATAACTCTGCTCATACTCTTAATTGGTCAGCAGATAACTTACAATTTATTAAGTTCTATCTTGAATCAGTTTTTGATTTTTTTTAAATTTTTATGTTACGACTAACTTGGAAACATTTTTTGTACGTCCAATATCAAAAAGGTTGTTTTATTGAATTTTTTATAACACAATGGATTTTATTAATTAATGAGTTTTCAACTACACTTTGCCTTAAAGATGATGTTATTTTAGAGTTGCATGACCTAATGAATCATTATGCGAACAACATCCCAAAGCACAATGATGGTTCTATAGACGAAGAACAACTTCCTAGCTACAAAGAATATCATACAAATAAACTGATATCATTCTTAACAGCAAAATTAAATAAAGCATGTAAATATTTTGGTTGTGTTGCAACTAAGCCAATGTTTTTAATCAGGAAAGAGCTTCCTGGCGTATTGGCCAGACCGTAGCACANCAATGATGGTTCTATAGACGAAGAACAACTTCCTAGCTACAAAGAATATCATACAAATAAACTGATATCATTCTTAACAGCAAAATTAAATAAAGCATGTAAATATTTTGGTTGTGTTGCGACTAAGCCAATGTTTTTAATCGGGAAAGAGCTTCCTGGCGTATTGGCCAGACCGTAGCACTAACGTAAGCTAACGGAACCCTCAACTATTAAATTTTATAGTTTGAATAATTCCAAAATTTTTCTTACTAATCTCATGATTTGTGTTAATTATTTCGATTTTAATGTAATTAGAGCATTTATAAGATATATAGAAAAAATTAATGAATAATTAAATAAACGATTATTAAGTAATTATGTTAAAATTTTACAGTTTATAAATGATCATCGATCTAGATAAATTTTGATGAGATGTCAATGGTTATTATAATTAATAACTTATATTTGTATTTATATAACTATCTAACTTATCTGTTTGGAAAAAGTATGTTTATAATAGTTCACATCCAATTTGGTTTTCTTTAGATTTAAAAAAATTAATACAACAAAAAAACTAGCTTACTTATCAGTATCAGTTGCTAATTGTTAACCAAACAATCAGCACGTATGTTTCCGTCTCGCTCTCGTGAAACCTGTGTGTTATTGTTATTAAATTTTATATGTGCGTATAATGCGAACCGCGGACTTATGGACGTTGGTAAGTGTTTTTAATTAAGTTGGTCACAATAGTGGCATCAAATTACATTGTGTATAATACAACTATATTATACAAATAAATACATACGGAAATGTCTCCACAGCGCAAGAAAAAAATTGAACTGTCAGCTATGATATTTGGACACAAGTAAATACTGACATTGAAAATTTTTAAAAAATAATAGCAGAACTTCAAGAAAGTAACGAAAAATTAAAATGTCAATTAAGTCAAATTAAGTCAAATTAAAGAGAATGTGGAAATTAACACAAGTTCACCAAAAAATCGTTAAAGTAACAAAAAAAGTAGAGAGAACTCCTACTAAAATCTACAAAACTCCACCTATTACAGCATGTGGGGTCAATGATTCTAAAAAATTCATGGATAATCTAGCAATCGAAGAGGTTTCTGGTCATGAGCAACAACTTAAAACCTTAGCCAACGGTGATATAAAGATTTTAACAGGAGTCGAACATCCATTTCGCCGTACTATTAAAATTTTAGAGGAGCAAAAAATTGAATACCATAGGTACCAACTTAAATCTGAAAAAACATACAAACATTTATTTCGATTTTATTGTGTTCGCCAAATGCCTCGAAAATGTTCCATTGTGAAACTTAAACGTACTACTTTTAGTTCCATATTATAAAAAACGGTAGCACAGTGGGGTGGAGGCATAGTGTAGACGAGGCATAGATGGGACAAGTATAGATGATATCTGACAGTGATTAAAATCACTATCATAAGAAACGCTTCGATGCAAATCTGTAGATAGTGTTTCATTTAGAGAAATTTGTGGATTATTCCAAAAGCAACATCAACTCTTATTTTTTTGATTATATCCTAATTAATAGTTCTTTGATTTTAAAATATAATATAAGAATAAATATTAATTATAATTATTAAATTTAGTATGAAATTGATATTCAATAATTTAATACTATAATTTAAACGGAGAAATTATAAAAATAATAAAGAAGTTATATTTTGCTTTACTTTTATATCCTATTTTATATTACTTATTTATATTCTCATTAAGATTAAGTATGTCGAATGAAAGAGTGATATAAATATTAATTCTCATAAAAAAATTGTATTGATACATACATATTTCAATATGTTATACAAATATAAAGTTAAAAATGTAAAATATAAAATCGAGGATTTTCACACAAAAATAGCATTTGGTAACTGTTTTCACCGTGAAGACAAAATAAAGTCCGAAAATTTTTTTTCCATGTTAAAGTATATTACATTAGCTTTAATTTAAGATATATATAAAAATGTCCGACTTTCCGGAATACTTTCAAAAGTTAAGTTTATATTTTTATAAGTATTATATTTCGGGCTATTAATAGATCGGAAGGATTCGTATTTTTTTCATAATAAATTTTTAATAATTACTATAAAAAATTCTATTGATTTGAAATAATTATTCCGGTTATAACATTTTAGTAACTACATTTATTGAATTTAATTAGACTATAAAGTATTCAAATATATTTAAACTTCAGTACAGACTCCATTAATATTTGAATTGCATCAAATGATTAATTCATGTCAAATCCACTCATTTTGAAAATACGGTAACTGCCCTAATGAATCTTAGGTATCTCAGGAGCGATATTTACAGGTCTGAGGTTGGAGCTATACTGCATACATAGATTGTTTCTAATTTATTTTTGTAATTTTTGATGTTGTTTTTGTTATTATTTATATTTCTTTATTTTGTTTTTCTCGTTATTGATGTTTTTGTTTTTATTCTTGTTGTTATTATTATTTTATTATATTTGTTTTTCATTGAATGCGAAAAAAATTGATTAGAAAAAATGCAATATTTAAATGAGATAATTGTGTATTTGTACTATCTTTGTATTAAAATTTATAAAAGTGTAAAAGTTCGAAAAACAAAAACTCAATATCTAAGTCACTAAATTGCATTAAAAATTAAGAATACATAAGGGATAGTAGTAAAAAAATTCAAATACTCTCCTGAAACAACAAAAATGTTCTTTACATTAATACCTTGCAATATCTTTGCACTTTTATCGATGTATACATTATCAAGCTTTTCTAAATTGATTTTGAACTTAACTTCTTTTTTAACTTTATTCTCTCTCTATATCATTTTACTATTTTGTTGTGGTTAAAATAATTAAATTCATAAATTAATTAGGCGATCAGTGAACATCACGTTATAGTTAATATTACAATATTTACCTATATTACTTTTTAAGTCACTTAATTACCCCAAAAGTTTTAGAATTAACTTAACTTGGGTTCTTTAAAGATTAAGTCAGTTAAAGCTTTAGTTCCTTTATTTTAATAATATTGATCGTGCAAAATTAATTTTAAAAACTAAATTTGCTCTTACATGAAATCTTAAAATTCTTTATACAATTGTATTACTTGATATTGTTGAGGTAATCAAGTTCAATTAATCAATTAGGTCATTAGTAAACAATACGTTTAATTAAAATTAAAATACTCATATAATCTATTGAGAATTTCCACTGCTCGATGAACAAATAAGAACAAAACATGTAATAAATACATCGCGTCGCAATGTGGACACATTGATTATTGGTAATCGATGTGCTACTACGAAAGAATAATTGTATATACTCGTATCATAATAATTAAATGTATTGTAATATTAATAATAAAAAAATTCAATTCAGAAAAATGATTATTTAAATGTAAATACACATAAAACTAATAAATATAAGCCGTGTTTGAGCTCAAAGAAATACAAGAAAAATTAATTAAAATATATTTTGTAATAGTAAAAGCTTTTGTTTACATTCTTAAAAATAAGATTTTGCAGTTAAAATAATTTTTTTACAAATCGAAATTTTGAAAATTAAGTTTTTTTTTTTTTTTCGTAGTATAATTTTTAGTAATGCACTACATTTTGTAATTTATTTATTTTTTAATTTTAATTTTTGAATTTTTATCCACATTTATATATCATATGGTAACAAATAATGTCTTTGAATTAAAAAAATGAACTTTTTTACACATATTTTATACTTTTTAGAAATGGGGTCTGATAGACACCCACGCGACTATGAACGTTAAAAATAGGCACGCGCCTGCTAAAGGGTTAATATCAGTTTAATACTCAGCTGATAGTAGTCATTTCGTCAATCGTCCACTTGTCATCGTAATTTAGATAATAAAATTAAAAATAAAACACAAAAATACATATAAATATATGCACTAACGACAATATTACCACACACACACAACTGTGAACTGTACAAACTGTATGAGGACACAACGTGTGGAATACCCACGATTAACATAATTTAGACGAACGTGGTTAATAATAATTCTTTTGAATTTAAATCGTACAAATTTCAATGATATCGATATTACGACAAATGAAAACTATTTCTATATTACTTAACGATAAAATATGATTATTTAGTCTCTTCAATAACACGGACCATATTATACAACAATAACCGATAAATCACCCACTGAAATCAAAATTTCTGTGATGACTGAGGGGGCTTGAATCTGTCTTGAGAGGGCGACTGCCCATTCTCGCCCCCTTTTGGCGCCGTCCCTATCAGTATGTTATGGATCTTTTTACTGTTAAAAGTATTTTCAGGATAATTTTTTGAATTCCCCATAAGAGTATTATGAGAGAAAGCTCGGATAAATTTTGCTAGATTGCAAAAGAAGAATAAAGCATGTTTTGACAAGGAACAATATGATCACACTAAGTATACTGTAGGGGAGATAGTAGTAATGTTGAGACCTTCTAGATATACAGCTGAATCTACTAAACTTCAAGAGAATTTTAAAGAACCCTTGGTAATCACTGAAGTGCTATTTAGTGATATGTACCAAATAGTTCATTTGATGGAGAACTTAAATGTGCAAACCGAACGTAGTTTAACCGTTTAGGAAAACATACACCACACGTTATGACAATATAATACTTTATTACGACAAGTTGAATGTTACAAATAAAGATAATCAGCGAAAAGTGGATGATGTTGAGATTGCTTAACAATCTTTTATATCGAGGAATGTTGTTATCAGCTATTAGGGAAGCCCTCACCCGAGCCGACCGTCCAGGACGAAAATAGATTCGGTCGATAGTGGTCGGCGTTAACCGATGGCGGGCCGTGCCAAAAATAGCCATGGAAATCCAAAGATTCCTTGGTTATTTTAGGCATGGCTTTATGGCCGCAACAAGAGCTACTAGAGAACCAAAACCAGCCTATCATAGAGGGCTACTTCGGCAATCAAAAGGGGAACCTCTTCCTGTACCAAATACTAATATCGAAGAAAGATCTGTGAGGAATAAAAGGAAACCGGCCTTGGATATTATGTATCACGTTGATCAGGGGTTTTTGTGATATTATTGTATAATTATTATTTTATTTATTATAAAATAAAAATAATATTGAGAAGTTTTGATTTCTTTATATAAAAAAATTATTTAACTTAACATATAAATTTTTATCTGTTCACCTTATACAAACAATAATTTAATATACATAATAGTCATGAATTAGGTGTTGGTATGATATATTAAAGTAAAAAAAAAAAAAAAA